AGTGCTCGGTACACCTTGGTGTACCGAGCGGTATACCGTACCGTACCGGTACCGAGCCCGGGTCGAAACGTCGGTACGGTACGGTACGGCGAACCTTGGTTTGATGTATATATAATATCCTCAGAGTTTTTGCAAGTCTTTGTTCAGATATCCGAGTTGATCAGTATATATAACATTTCGATTCAATTTCAAATCAATTATAAAAACAAAAAAAGCCTAAATATTTGTACAAACGATAAGTTTATCTCTTTCAATAATTTAATAAATAGTTAAAAAGGAGAAAGATTTTGAGAAAAATAAAAAAAAAGAGGCAATTCCCGAACTAAAATCGGAACCACATAAATCTGAATTTGATTTCGATTTTAAATTCGACAGAATCAAAATCGCTTGGAACGGGGCTGCGTGCCACCTCCTGAAGCCAGCCAGCCAGCCACCATGAAATAATAGGCTCCAACGTACAGAGAAGAACGTTGTCGTCTGGCCAACGACTGAATTAAATGAAATAATAGGCTCTAAATTCCGTGCAAACGACTGACTGTCGCAATCTCCCCTGAGATGAGTTTAATATTAATTACTGTATTTATTATATGTATTTCACTATATTTAGAGACTTCGATTATATACATATATATTTACCTTTTCTTTTAACAAAATTAGAAAAAAGCAATCTTTTTTTTGCATTAGTTAAAAGAATGATTCATTTGGGCGTGCTGTCCAAATTGCTTCCTAATTCTTTAAAATGTTTGCCTAAAAACTTAAAAGAGGGAATATAAAACCAGATTAATTACTTATAACACCCTGCATTAGACTTCTTTTTAGCATTTCAATTTTTAGGTTTAAAAAATTATATTAAATTTTTTATAATTATGAAAATAAAACATTTAATAGGATAACACGTGCTGTATAATAAATGTTTTTTCCTTGGATCAATCTCCATTCCTCTGCTTCTGTGATCCGTATAATTTGTAGCCCGTTGTAAAACTTTGGGTAAAAACTCAAATGTCCTTTTTGTTCTCTTATCTTTTCCTCATTCTTGTTTTCTGAAAGTATTTCTTAGCTACAAATCCTTCGCTTTGAACAATCTGCATGAAATGTTTAATACCTTTGGAACTCACGAACAGCTAAAGAAGCCTTTTACAACATAACTATGATTACACCTAACTAATATATACTGTATAGGAAGCCATCTCAGTAATAATCTCTCAAAGTTCCCCAGATCAGTTATTTTGTTCGTCTGGACATTTTATGGCAGAGATGACAAAAGGCGTGGAAGCTAATGGATGAAGTCAATCGCCAAGCAGCTCGATCTACCAGCATAGCAGCTTAAGCTTTTGAAGCACAAGAATTTGAATATAGCGAAAAATAAATGTGGTACCTCATGGATTTTTGCCTCATCCTACTGCTTCTGGAAAATGGTGCAAGATAGTGAACACAGAAATAGTGCAGTATTATCGTGGCATGCGATTTAGGCCTAGATCTCCCGTAAGACAGGCCAACCATTTTTCACAATTTCATCGATCTTCGCATCAATCTTCCTTTGTATAATTGTGGGGCAAAGCTCAGCAGCATAACCATTCAACTTTGCAGCTAGGCTTGATGTCATGAGTTCCTCATCTGGCATATTCCCAATCAGCTGCAGGAGAAACCGATTACGCTTCAGCTCGAATTTCTGCACAAGGTATGGCAGTCAATAAGGAACGATAAGACTAGGAGCAATTCATTGTTAATTAGGTAGTTCCAGTAACAAGTTATAGTGAAGAAGTCACATAAACATTGCTGTTGGTATTAACAAGACATCAAAAGTAGAGAATAAAATATGTAGCTTCATCGAGAGATCAAAAGTCGAGCTAGGTTCTTATCGAGAAGGCTGAGGCATCAATCACATCACTTCAAAATAGATCATGATGACAACAAATAGAAGATCAATTCTAGCAAAAGTGTTCAACATGTTCAGGGCGGGAAATAAAACTCTTAGGTTGTGGAACATTCTGATGAACTGATCAAGTGGATGGGAAAAAAAGTAGTTTTAGTGTTATCAAATATATTTATTTGATCCATAATATAGAAGAATGAAAACAAGTAATATGTATTCATCACAATAACACTTGGGTCATGATAAATTATTTAGATCATCAATTATAAATTTTATAGCATATTCAAGTTTGTAATGTTAGTTTAATAAACATATACAAACTGTATGACCTTTGGTTTCCAAATGTTTTACAACATCGTAGATCATGTTTCACAAAACCAATCTTTGATTTAGAGACTCCGTGATTGACTTTTTAGTGATAAAAGTGCGACCTCAATTTTTCCAATAATATTTTAGCTTAACTGTGTGTATATTTATACATACCTAAATGCAAATTTATAATATAGTTTGGCAAATGTATACCCTCCTAAAAGTGTAATTGTGGCAAGCAGGTAAAGGTGGGAAGTCAACTTTTAGAAAAAAAAATAGATTTTCCTCAAAATAGTAAAAAAAAAAACTTCTTTTGTAGATGCTATCATAAACTGTCAAAAGTAATTTAAATGACCCAGAAATTTGTTTTCTCAAAAATAGGACACATCATATAGTAATCTGTAGGGAGCCCAACAATAACAGGCCATGAAGAGGTCATATGATGAATTTGGCCATATATAACCTTTTTAATCAACCCATGTTAGTTTTACTCTAGAACATGTTGCGAATAGTGCAACATGAACTGAGGAGTTTATATCACAGCTTTTTTATTTATATTTTATTTTTTAAATATTTCATGAACTAGATACGATGATTAGTTTGCATGAATAAGGTTCCAAGAGTTCACAATTAAACATAGAAAACTAGATATAAGTTGGTAGGCTTAAATATCAATTAGTGTATATTTGACCAACTAGCTATCAATTAGTGCCTTCACTCAATTGGAGACCAAAGACTTGACTGTCTGGATGGAAAGACTAGTTGCTGGATAACAGTGAATCCACAAGATTGGTGAACCCACATACCTGATGTTCAGCTTCAGCAGGATAAAATACTCCCAGTTGCTGGATTTCTGTTGTCACAAGACTACTCCGACTTTTAGCCTGTTCCCTTTCCTTACTTACAGCAGCCAACCTCGCCTCTTGGGTTTGATTTGTGAAGATAATGGATCTGCAGAGACAGCCCAATAACCTTTTCAAGTGCCAAAGTTCAGCAGAAAACTGTTCGGCTTGAGCAAGCAACTACAGATAATACCATTATGAGCACCACCACAAGCATATTTTCACACCAGCTCACAAATCTCATCATACGATTCAAACAATCAGATTGTGTAGTTAAAGTTTTATGTATTTTATTTTAATGCAGTGTCATGTAATGGCAATTAGAGACCCCAATACCTCAACTCTTTCAACTATTTATTGTCATCATCCCAACATCATCCTATAGTGTTTCTAAGACCAATATATTGTTCTGTAAATTAGCACTATTTTTTTCTCCTTTTCTAAATTGAGACGCTAAGAAATTTAATGGCTTATGGTTTCCTAACTAGGCATTTGTACAATTGCTTGGTTTCTGGTTTATGGTTTATGGCTTATGGTTATCAATATAGAGTATACAATTGCTTCATGGTTCCCAACTAGGCATCTGTACCCACTGCACCCCCATGTTGAGACAACATGAAACAAGTGTTTATGTGAAATATGGGTCAGACGTAGCCAGAGGTTTGATCAAGCATGACAAATTTCAAGTTTTATTAAAGCAATGATCATGGATATGTTATTCCAAGTTGTCTTAGAATACTAGGATTTACATGAAAACAAGGATAACTAGTAGAAGCTAGTACAATATCAGATTTGTACATTTGACTTTAGCAAAAATGATAGTTATTGACTACTAAAGTGTTCTAGAGGTACTCAAGAAGATAATAGTATATTGACTACCCCTAAGACCAGCTTTTGGTTTTCTATGGAAGCAATGAATCTCCAAGATAGTGCCAAGTCCACTATAAATTTGCTTCATTCCGACATAATCTTAGGCCTAATAAAATAAAAAATATGACAACGGTATTGGACTTTGATCACTAATAAAACTGAAATGTGACAGATAAATATATATCAATATAATCTATTAACTAATAGAACAATATAGAACTATTTCAGATTACATTTTATATAAATGTTTTATATAACCTTTTATACTAATAGGTTTATTTCCTGATTTGTTCCTCACAAACCGTGACCAACTGTAAAATGAGTGAAGAATGAACTAAAATTTGTTTGATTACCTATATTGATCTCCTACATCAGGTCCTTGGCCAAAAACTTGCCTAGAATCATGACTAGACCAAAAGACATCCAAAAGCTGCTTGAATTGAATCAACTTGGGATCATACTCAACCTGCAATAACAATATAAGAATTAAAGAATATTTTGAAGCAATCCACAATACACAATCTAATCTATCAATTAATTTAAAAAGAAT